CCAAGCAGTCACTGCAGAGTCGGTAACGACTGAGCGCAGATTATTAAAAAAAAAAAAAAAAAAGGAGATAACTGAGCTTGAATGAGACTATCTTTTGGGGAGGGTTGTCCCATGTTCTTTGGGTAAGAGAGGGATGGTGGATGCCCATGAATAAGCTTCACTGTCTCACCAACTTCTTTCCTCCTGTTCTTTTTCAGCCATCTGCAGCTGGCAGATACCATTGAGGAAACAGGCAGGGCAGCAGAAGATGCCTCCCAAGAGGCACGGGCATTGCTGCAGGCCTTTGTGAGTGGAGGAGATATTGTGATAAACTCTGCGCAAGGGCTCCAGAAGAAGTGAGTTTAAGTGGGTTTACTTGCATGCATGTCTCAAGGATATCATCTACTTCTTCAAGTCTCTTCATACTGAGGTCAAAATCTTAAGGTGATTGTTAAAAGCAGACTACAGTGATGGAAGTTATATAGGGATATATATAACTTGTTATTGCAAAGTGAAACAGGTTGTCCCCTCTGAGGGATTCCTCCCTCGATGAGGCCAAGATCAATCCAACATAAAAAACTGGTATGTGTTTCAAGGCACTGCCATCTCTTAAAGTTCCCTGACCCAGGTTCTCCTTCTTTTTTGAGTGTGAAGGCAGTAGTAAGAGTGAAAATAAAAAGTAGCATTCTCTACTTGCCACTCCCTCTGGGATTAGAGGACCTAAATCTTAAAGGCAATAGCAAGGATGTCATTCTACCAAAGAGAAGGTCCGACTGAAGACAGGCTTTTCCAGAACTGTTTTAAACATGTTCGAGGCATGTTTAATATTCCATTAAAGGCAAGTAAATCATAATGGTACCTCCAATGTAGTACTTAAGAACTTCAGAGGACTCCTGCTCTTTTGGAGCCCTGGTGGCCCAATTATTCCCATAGTGGCTTGACTAGTGGCCAGTGGAAAACCACATGAGTTGAAGAGCATCCTCCCCCTCATGCTCCTCAAAACCTAATACCAAGAAGCAAACAATTTCTGATACTGGAGAAAATATGTAACCACTATGATCAGTAGTAACCACTGATATCTTTATCCTACCTAAAATATATATGTTTTAAAGTTCTACAAAGCAGTAACTTCTTGAAGCTGTAAACTCAATAGCTTAGCTATGACCTGGGTTAAGATTTTTTTTCTTTTTTTCTCTCCCAAATCTCTTACATTAGATGAACCTGGCTTCTAGTTTTTTCAGAGAGGCCTATCATTACTTTTATTTATTTCCTTCTATTTATCCTTGCTAACTTTCTTCTAAATTGAAGAATCCCCAAAGGTGTACCTTTTTTAATAGAAGACTTACTCTGGCTGGGTGGTTATTTTGGTTACCCTTTTATATACCTTGTTCAAAGTTGGACTTTTCTTTCTGAAAAGAAAAAGAAGCTGGCTGGCGAATTCTGGGAGTTGAAGTCCACCCATCTTAAAGTTGCCAAGGTTGAGAAATTGTAATGGATGGCATGAGCGGGGAAGATTCTGGAATGGAACTTCAAGGTTGTCATGAGGGGGCAGAGACATTCCAGGGCAAGTGCCTCCTCAGCCCACAGCAAGCGTGTGGGAAGATGAAAAGGATGAGGCTGGCCCCTCCCTAGAGTCTCACAGGGTATAGCCACTAGTTGCTTTAGCATAGGTTGAGTCTGGCGAGATTTTGTCTATTAGGTGCGAGCTAATGAAAAACCGTGCGCGCCCGAAAAGGGCGCGAAACAACGGAAATCCTGCCTCCTGCGCTCGCCAGCTGGGCTCTGCTCTAGGAAGGAGGCACTGG